TACAATCAGCACAATTCAGTGAAGAAGAGGTCTAATGGCAGCCTCTTTTTCTACCTCCTTTGAGCCCTGGTGGCATAGTGGGTTATGTTGTGGGTTGCTAAGTGCAAAGCTGGCAGTTCAAATCCACCAGATGCTCCTCAGGAGCAAGGTGAGGCTGTTTACTCCCAAAGAGTTACTGTCTCAGAAACCCACAGGGAGCAGTTCTACTCTGTCATATAGGGCCACTACGAGCCTGACTCGATGGTAGCAACTTGCTTTCCTTAGACTCTCTGGGTGGTACAAACAGGTAACACTCTTGGTTGCTAATTGAAAGCCTGTTGATTTGAGTCTACCCAGAAGTGCCTTGGAAGAAAGGCCTGGCGATCTACTTCCTCAAACTAACCATGGGAAACCCTCAGGAGCACAGTTCCACTCTGGTACACATTGAGTAGCCAGAAGGTAGAGCTGACTGAAGAACAACTGGTTTGGGATTTGGAAATAGTCACTCAGGAGGGGCTGCTGAATAAGTTAGTTGTCCCATCTCCTTTGTGACCAGCACTAAAGGACCCACTGTTTGTGCCGGTCCGGACCATGCAGCTGCCTCCCCTACCTCTTCCGAAAGATAGCCTGATGGACTATGCAGGGGGGGCGCCTCTCAAGACCAGAGCTGGACTGTGCAGTCCCTGCCTCCAGCATCCAAGGAGCTTATCTCTCTGGGCTGGGTCTGTACAGGTCCTTCCTCAGTGTTCCGGGGACGATTTACTCACAGACCACATCCTGACTCAGACCTGCAACTGCAGCACTAGAAGGCCTTCTTTCCCCTTATCAGTACATACATCCTTGGCTCAAGCCCTATATATGTCCCACTGCCTCACTGCCAGACGCGATTTCCCTGACCTAACTTGTTGGGTCTGGGAACCCGGCCAGGGGCTCAAGATGCCCCTGTCCTTCTCTGCTCTCCCTTCCCTCCAGGAAGTTTTTTCCCTGCCTCAATAAAGCCTTTCTCAACTTCACATTCCTGGCTAAATTCTCTCTGTTCCACACCTCCTCTTGGTACCGAAAGACCCGGGACCAACAGGAGGGGCCTCTGCGCTGCCCGGGCCTTCCTCTGTTTTCAACCTCTCACCCACACTCCAAAGTCAAAGACACAGCCATTGAGTCAATTCTGACACCTGGACAGGGTAGACCTACCTGTCCCTGTGGGTTTTTGAGATTGGAACTCTGTACAGGAGTAGAAAGCCTCATCACACCCCCCACAGTGGCCTCGGGGATAGCATCCACCAGGGCTCCTAAGGGGGACCCAAGGAAACAGCACTGCAGTCGCCCAGGCAGTGGGCCACTTGTAGTGATTTGTCCTGCCAGAGGGAGCCAGTTTGGATCATTATTTCAAGGTATTTGCCAATTGAAAAAAAAGGGCAGAACTACATAAATAAACACAGGGGGGGAGGGGAAGGAGGGGAAAAACTGATACAATGGGCCCAAGTAGAAAGCAAATATTTTGAGAATGATGAGAGCAACAAATGTACAAATGTGCTTGAAACAATGGATGGATGGATGGATTGTGATGAGTTGTACGAGCCCCCAATAAAATGACTTAAAAAAATAAAATAAACACGAGGAGCTTCCGTTGGTGTGTAAAACGACTTGATGGTTAATGGCGGGAGCTTAGAAAGCAACGTGTGCCATCCTCAGGGAACAGGTTTTTATGAGGATCAAATCTACTCCGTAAAACACCTGGCAGTTGTCAATTCCTGATGAGCTGATTCTGACTCCTGGGACCCCATGTGTGCAGAGCAGAACGGCTCTACAGGGTTCTCAAAGCAGCTCGGAACTTACCTGGTAGGCAGGTGCTTAATAAAAGGTTACTATTTTTTATTAATAAATGATCTTTAAGAGCCTGTCCCAGGGAAACATCCCGACAGGAGCGCACGCGTTTGACAGCAATCAATCCCAAACCTCAAATCAAACCCACTATGAGGCCCCTATATACTACATACATAGTATATATTTCTGGGCTGTGGATCTTTACTGGCGCCTATAGCCCCAACTTAGGGCGCGGATGGGCTGATGGGTTTGAACCACGGACCTAGTGGTTAGCAGCAGCGCAACGCCGACAAGCAACCACAAACCACAGCCCCAGCCCCGCGCGCGCGTCACTGACGCAAACCGGAGTCTCCAGAGTTCAAGTTCCTGGAAGCCCTGGGCTGGCTGGTCGCTTGGCCTCGGGGTGAAAATGGGGAGGAGACGCGGGCAGCTGGCGGAGAAGGAAGGGCCGCGGGGCAGGTTTGGGTGCGCACAGTGGCCGCGCGCACTTGAGCGCTTTCCTGGCGTGGAGGGCACGAGGACCCGGGCACCTAGACCAGACTGAGGAATCGGAGCACGGCGCCCCGGGCGGGGGCGGGGCGGGCGCCGCGGGCGGGGGCGGGGCTGGGGCTGGGGGGGAGAGCAGTCGGCGGCGCCTGGGGCTGGGCTCCGCGCCCGGGCGCGCGCCCGCGGGGGCCGTAAAAGGCTGGAGCGGACGGGGAGGTGTGGCTGAGTCCGCCTGAGAGGAGCCCCCGGCTGGATCCGTCGCCGGCGTCTCCCGCAGCTGCGGCCTCTCCGCCATGGGCGCCGTCTGGTCCGCCCTGCTCGTCGGAGGCAGCCTGGCCGGGGCGCTTCTCGCGTGGCTGCTGCGGGACGGCCCTCCCGGGGGCGAGCTGGGTGGCGGCGGGAG